CCCTCCCGGGAACTACCTAGACGTCTCTCTTATCTTCATGATATAATAACGTTTAGTATTCTCGTGAGTTGTGGAAAATGTCACATGGAGAATTGTACTATCGGTCATGGGATCCTTCGAACATCCGGTTCGCCGTTTTTATAAATTATCCTCGCTCGTATCATTTTACGAAGCGACGCAATCCGGCGCGGATATTTCAATTTCACGATCGCACGGAGAAGCAAACTTCGTCCGTGTAAGCTCCATTAACGCACAGCGATCGTTACTCGATCCTTTCCCGTTACGGTGCGGCGAATACGCTGTGAATAATAAAAATAGCCGACGCGCACCGCCGTGTTTGTGGAAAAACCAAGTCGCCGCGCGTACCTCTCTCCCACTCCCGTTTCGCATATTTTTGTTGAACGACCAACGCTCGACTCGAGGGTCTTAATCGTTCGTTTTTTCAAGTATCACCGTCGATATTTTGATTTCGCCTAACGACGTGAGGTGGCGGGATTTTTCCGCGCGAGTCATGTCCAATTATAGAGAGCCCTATGTATTGGTTTTTGCTCCTGGTATGTACACAACCACGTCGTTGCTCTCGTCGACGAATCCTTTGATAGAACCGACGCCGAATTTTCGCCGGGATATCCTTTTCGAGAGTACGAGAGGAGCAAAGATAAAAAATGTGTGTGTGTGTGTGTATATATATAAAATTTGCTCGAAACGATTCAACGGACATGGAAAAATACGACGGTTTTTTTTAGAAAAAAAAATTATTTGACCACCGAAATAATTCGGTAATAATTTTGCAGTACGTTAATTACCTTTAGTACATAATCTTCTAAATTTAGAATATCTGGTACTAATATTTCGAATACTTAGAGTATATATAGTACTTAATCCTTTACGTCTAATATTTAGAATATATAGTGAATATATAAAATATATAGATTAATATATACAGAATATATTAATCCTTTACACAATTCTACTTTTAATGCAAGAACGTCTTGATGCTTATTTTAGAGGAGGATATTCTTTATATAAGTGAAATTTTCTTAAAAAGAGAATATAATTTTTTCACAGTGTTGAAGATTCGCCGGGACTGAAAGAGCCAAACAAAACATTTGTTTGAAATAAAACAATTAAACACTCGATATCAAGGAGGCATGATGCCTTCGACCCTTTGGCGTTCGTGCGCGGATTTCCTTCGAGTCGGGCTTTTAATTTCCGACGCGAAACGAGGTACCGACAAGAGCGCGAGTGCATTTGGCGGTTCTAAAAGGGCGATTCTTAAGGGGGTTGTCTGTTCGGCGCGCTCGTTTATTTTCGCGGTGGAAGCACGTCGGTTTTATGACGCGAATTCATTCTCGTGCACTCGTGGGGGTGGTGATGCACACCCTGGTCTGCGTCTGGCCTGCCTGCTTTCCTTCCTTCCTTCCTTCCTACCTCACGTATGGTCCCGACCCGACGACGGTTACGAAGCTCATTTTTCGACGCGAGCGTTTCCGGGCGACGTGGCGCATTGTCTGCATTTCATAGTTTTTTCTCTCTCTCCCCCCTTCCTCTCTTTCTTTTATCTCTCTATTTTTTCTCTAATTTTTGTATATTATTTTTTGTTTTATTATTACTGTTTGCTCAACCGTTAAGTTCTTTTGTGTATAACCATTGCAAATATCTTTAGAGGGTGCACATCCTACACTGTGAGAGAAAAAATACCCGAGAAATAAAAGTTATTTATGCGATAGATACCGATTTATAACGTATTTAATTAAATACGTTATACGTTAACATAAAACGTTTTTCAAGGAAGAATAAATATACATTTTCCTAAAACTTTAGTTTTTCATGAAACTGTTTACACTATCAAGCAATGTTACTTTCCCATAATTTAATTACTCGCACTAACATCCAGCGTACGACTTTTACTGGCCTTACATTTTTCTTAATCTAGATTTAAACGAATACGTTATTAATATCTACCACAATGGTACCAACTACCACAATGGAACTACCAACCGCCAAATAAATATATTTTATTTTTTAGATATCTTTTATCTCAGTGTAAAATTAAATGTTTCTCTTTTTCTCTCTCTCTCTCTCATTTTCTCTGCTTTACGTTGAGAGAAATCGAAGCGAATGAGATGGGAACTCCTCGGGAAAAAATGCAGCAACGTCGACGATTCGGAGGCGCGCGTCAGCCGAAATTCCATAAAGATCAATTCCGCGGAACGTACGTCCCTCGCGGAGATCTCCTCCTACAATTCTTCCGCAGCAGCTTTTCCAGTCGCTATTTCTCTTTTGCTTGGCGATGCGCAAGTGCGAGCCAATTAAATTAGCGAAATCGCTCGCGCGCGTCCGCTTTGACAGGCGCTACGCGATCCGCGAAAATCAATGCCGGGCGCGATCTGATTCGGCGTCTCTCCAGGGCGACGGCGAATCGCGACCATAAATCGCGAGCGTGTCAATTCAAGCGTCACTGCATTTCACTCGCGGAGCAGACTGCATCGAGAGACCGGCGCGAGAAGAAGACGAAGAAGAGGAAGTGGAAGAAGGCGAGGAAGAAAGTCGAGCGATCTCGTACAGCCGCCGCGGTGGGAAGGAAGTTCGCGAAACTTTTTCCTTTCCTTCCTCCCTTCAACCCTCTCTCTAACCCCCGCAGTCGCGTCGGACTCCGGACGACACCAACTTGGCTTTCACATCCCGGAGGGAAGTTACTCGGCGGCGGCGGTGGCGTGTTCGAGTCTTCGACGGTCGCCAGTTAGGTAGGGTAGGCAGCTAGGTAGATAGGTATAGAAGAAACTCCCACCCCCCGCGGCTTCTTCGGACACCCCCCGAGACTCGAGGACGCTGCTAGACGCAATTACGTAGTCGATATCATGCAAATCCGCCACCGCCGAAAGATCCACCGTCACCACCGTTTCGATAAAACTCGACTCGATGTCGCGTGTCGCGGCGCGAGAACTTTCTCTCGTACGTCACGTGTGGCACGCGAACCGGAAATCCTTTTGACACCCTCGGCGCGAAGACGAGACTTCCGACCCGCTTATTATGTAATACGATGCCTGTGCCGACCTCGAGTGTCGGGATAATTCGGGAGATGGAAGCGAGTCGTTGCTTCTCTCACCCTTATCCGAATGTCACATATATCGCCCTCACCCCCGAATGTCATATATCTAATATTCTATCTTCTTCACACGGATCCTTTTAGAAATATGACGCGATATACTGCTGTTAAGAAGTATTGCTAGGAACGTTGCATCAAGACTTGCAAACATAGATATCCACTTTTGATTCGCATCTAAAGTTATTGCGTTACATCTTTCTTATCCGTGCCATCGTAATTAAGTCTTGGCGTATCCTTGAGGGATACGGTATGTGATATCTTTAAAGATGTTTCGTCAATACATCTCCCGAGTCGAAATTTTGATGCTACTTTGACGCTCTTAAGAATAGTTTGCGCCTACTTAGGCGGTTTATAACCTCGGTAAAACCTACTCTGACGATATTGATACTCATTAACTTCTCTTTTGAACCTTTTGAACTCTACCTTGTCAAAATTTTGACGCTACTTTGACGCTTTTAAAAATAGTTTGAGCCTACTTAGATAAATGAAACCTATTTTGACGATATTGACAATCATTTCCAAGTCGAAATTTTGATGCTACTTTGACGCTCTTAAGAATAGTTTGCGCCTACTTAGGCGGTTTATAACCTCGGTAAAACCTACTCTGACGATATTGATACTCATTAACTTCTCTTTTGAACCTTTTGAACTCTACCTTGTCAAAATTTTGACGCTACTTTGACGCTTTTAAAAATAGTTTGAGCCTACTTAGATAAATGAAACCTATTTTGACGATATTGACAATCATTTCCAAGTCGAAATTTTGATGCTACTTTGACGCTCTTAAGAATAGTTTGCGCCTACTTAGGCGGTTTATAACCTCGGTAAAACCTACTCTGACGATATTGATACTCATTAACTTCTCTTTTGAACCTTTTGAACTCTACCTTGTCAAAATTTTGACGCTACTTTGACGCTTTTAAAAATAGTTTGAGCCTACTTAGATAAATGAAACCTATTTTGACGATATTGACAATCATTTCCAAGTCGAAATTTTGATCCTATGTTGAACCTTGAATTCTACACCGCAGTAGGAGCTAAGATAATAGCAAAGTAGGTTTAATTCTAATGATATAATTTACTCCTACTTTGATCCTGATGATGTCTGAAATATATGCAACAAATAAAATGTATATTTTATATGCTATTTTGTGTACTATTTGACGTTTCTGTTTCGTTATTTATTAAATTTTTTAAATATTCTTATAAAATATTTACATATATTCTCTGTAGGAACTAAAGCTTCAATAGAGGTTTGCAACTAAACCTATTTTGCTTCCTAAGATCCTACTTTATACAACCTACTTTGACGCTAAAGAAAGCGAAAGCGGAAATTTCAGATATTATCAGAATCAAAGTAGGAGTAAATTATATCATTAGAATATTAAACCTACTTTGCTATTTTAGCTCCTACTGCGGTGTAGAATTCAAGGTTCAACATAGGATCAAAATTTCGACTCGGACTATGTCATTTAATAGCGAGCTTTTGAAGATAATAGTTAATAATAATAGTTAATTTTTCACAGAAAGAATTTTAAAATTTCCCTCTCTCTGCTGAAAGCTCTTTGCAAATTGAAACACTCTATTCATATCGATTTGACATTCCTCTACAAAAATAACACTAAATTTCCAAAATAAAAATTTCGCGTTTCAAAGGATCGATGATTGCGCGCGAAAAACATTGAAAACAATAAATCAATAAAAATTGCAATTCATTATCTTTATGCGAAAAATCTCGCGATGTTATCAATATTCTAATAATCAAAGTCGGCTTTTCGTTCTCCTCGGAGTTTGTATAAATCTAATTTCTGGACATATAACAATCGAATTCGAATCCCCGATACAACAATTGGGTTCGAATCGCCGATTATAGTACTTTAATAACACTCACCCTGACGGGGGCGAAGATCTGGTCGGGCTTGATGTTCTCAAGGCGGTGCTCCTGCTCGCTCTTGTGCACCAGCTGCAGGTGCGGTTGAAAGTGCGCCGGGCAGAGGGTGCCGAGCGGGAGCGGGGACGCCCATGGCGGTAGGTGGGGTGGGTCGCGGGTGCCCAGTTCCCTGTAGAAGGTCTTCAGGAATCTGCAACGATGGTTCAGGATTTCAATCTGTGGGCCGTGCTGCGGAAATTCTTCCGACAAAGTCAAAGGGGGCGAGGGTCGCGCGCCGGGATTTTGTTGGGATTCCGGAGTGCAGAGGCGCCGTAGGCACAGGCGAAGGGTCGATGAAATAGTTTCGGCTACGCGGCGATGATAGATGAGAGAAGAGACTCGGAGATTGCCGGGAGTGTAAAATATTGTATCGCTGAAGGCGCGAAGGCGAATGCCTGGCGGTAATAATAGTGTGACGAATGCCTCAATATATACCCCCGTCGCAGGAATTTTGTTCAAGTGCATCTCGCTTTCTGAGCTTCCGTTATCGCGTATTTTAACGCTGCACTATGCGGCCGGTATTTTACTACGGAACAGCAATACATGTAAAAGTTCTCTGGTGAAAGTTACTCTAGAATTCTGCAACATATGACGAACATATCGACACTCTGCCTTAATTTATTGTTTTCCGTTTCACATCATAGCAACTGTATTCTATAAAAAAATATACTGTGTTTCTTAGCGAGATAAGCTTTACCCACTCTGTTCCTGCGCTATTAGAAAAATATGGTAAAATTGAGAAGAACTTACATAGAGGGAAGCTATAACGATATTTTCTTCGGTCCTCATTCTGAACTCTCTCTTTTATTGATAAAAGTGCCCTTACCCATATCGTTAATAAATAATATCGTTAATAAATCTTCTGATTGATTTATAAACATATTTAGAGGCACTTTTGCCGATCAAAGAAAGTTCAGAATATTGACAATTTTGTATAAATAAGAGTATATTTCGTCTAATTTTACAAATCTCTATCCCGACGTTATCAGTTGCATTCGTCCTCACGTTTACGTACGGCCGAAAGATCTAGTATGTTATTTAACTGATAGAGGAGTATTTTTGCGAGAGATACACCGAAGCAGGAGTTCTATTGAAAAGACCCGATGAACGCAGGTCGGAAGCGTCGGCCGGAGTTTTGACGTTGCTCGACCTCAAGCAACTACACATCGATTTAGTGTCGAGTGATCAGTAAATTTTATCAGGACGACAAAATGCGTAATACGCGAGGGTGAGTGCTCGTCGTATGTCAAATGATACGTATACCTCTCACTCGAGGAAGAGCAGGAGAGGGATAGGGGGAGAGGGAGAGGGAGAGAGAGAGAGAGAATGAGATGGATGGATCCTGCAGGAAAGCCTGTAGGGCTATGAAGGTAATCACGACGGGAGGGAAAGTCCCGGGAGCGAGGCGAAGAAGCTCGTGGAGGGTTTTATGACTTCCGGACGATCAGTCTTGGAACTTGTTCTGATTTTATGACAACCATTAGACCGGATATCCGCTGCGCGACGACGCGTCACGCATCACTCTCGCGATTTGCGAAGACAGACATTTACCGACCATCGCGAATTTTATCCGATCGCAAACGCGATTGCTTCCGTGCGCTCACATTTAATCTTTTGCGGTATGATAGGTCGCTTAGCGATCTACCTTTTTCCCCTAAGTTTTTCATTATTTTTGTAACTTGTTAAGTACCGGTTTCTTGTTTTTTTTTTAAGTCCCTAGTATATGAATAATTGTAAAAAAAAACAAAAAATCGTAAATTTTTATTTGCATAATTACTATAAAGAAATAGTCAAAATTTATGTTTCTTTATGAAAAAAATTTATTTTTTACAAAATTATTATCAATGTTGAAACAGCAATTCAGATACTTATTTAGGACAGCCTAAAGTATTTTTCAGAATTTTGTCAGATTTTTCGCTACGTTGTTTTTTTATTACAGATCAATAATCTTTGAAAACTATAAAAAATTAATATTTTCTGTTGTAAATCCAAATAAACAATTTGAATATCTCCTATAATGATATCCTAGAGGTCATTTTTGGCTCATTGAATCTTGAATATCAGAATTTTCAAATTTTTCAAAATTCAAGATGGCAGAATCAGTATAAACTTCTGATTTAAAATCGGTGATCCAAAAAATCTCCGAGTTTAAAAAAATCGGTCTGATATGAAAATTCGTGACACAAATGATTAATGCGGGTTGCTGTCGGTCACAGCCGTCGGTCAAATTTACAAATTTGGTTAACCGATGTTATTTCTAGGTCGCTGCGTTCCTTACTTCTTGGTTATCGCGCGGCCGAGGAAGATAAAGAACAGGCGATAAGGACAGTTAATGATGGAATCGTAAACTGTCATGTCATAAATATGTGCGTGGGGAGAAATTTTATAGCGAAAATTGCTGTAAAGTTCTGTACCCGAGAAACATATCGATATCCCGAGTCGAAATTTTGATGCTGTTTTGACACTCTTAAGGATAGATTATGCCTACTTAGACGGTTTATGTCTTTATTTAGCCTAGATAAAACCTATTTTGACGATATTGATATTCATTAATTTCCCTTTTAAACCTTTAACTCTACTTTGTCAAAACTTTGACGTTACTTTCATGCTCTTAAAAATAGCTTTGAGCCTACTTAAATGATCTACAACCTAGGTGAAACCTATTTTGATGATATTGATACTCCGATTCTCATTTCCGAGTCGAAATTTTGACCTTATGTTGAATCTTGAATTCTACACCGCAGTAGGAGTTAAGATAGCAAAGTAGGTTTAATTCTAACGATATAATTATTCCTACTTTGACCCCGATGATGTCTGAAATATATGCAACAAATAAAATGTATATTTTGTATGCTATTTGACGTTTCTGTTTTGTTATTTATTAAAATTTTTAAATTTTTCTACAAAATATATTCTATAAAATATATTATATATATTCTATGTAGGAGCTAAAGCTTCAATAGAGGTTCGCAACTGAACCTACTTTGTTCTCTCTCTTTCTCTCTCTCTCTCTCTCTTCCTAAGATCCTACTTTATTATATAACCTACTTTGACGCTAAAGAAAGCGAAAGCGGAAATTTCAGACATCATCGGGGTCAAAGTAAGAGTAAATTATATCATTAGAATTAAACCTACTTTGCTATCTTAGCTCCTCCTAGCGGTGTAGAATTCAACATAGAGTCAAAATTTCGACTCGGGATTTTGCTTTTATTTATTATCCTTCCGTTTCGTATGTGCCACTATTAATATTTTGTAGGAACTGCGAAATCTTTTAATCCTTTGAATCGTACATTCCATTTCTCGGTGAAGTTTCCTCAAATTTCGTATACGGAGAATTTTGGAGTCGCTGAACGATTATATACGAATGTGAGGAGAAAAGGTTAAACTCCGAAACGGCGGGTCCAACATGGTTCATGGAGACCATGAGCTTTCAAAATTAACAGTTTGCTTTTTAGTATTATACGGAAATAACGGCATTTTCTCGACATGAAAAGATGTTTGCGTTTTTGACAGGAAATTTGCAGCATACATATTATCAATATTCCAATAGTTTATTATAAAAAATGGGGTTTCCCATACATTTTGAAAGAAATGTATAAAATACTGCTAGTTGTTCCGAATAAATTGTGTTAGTATATTCTAATAGTTTTAACAATTAAACATACAAATTATTTTTTATTTATTTTTAATTCCTTATGTTAATATGAGAGCATATAGCAATGATATAATCGACTATGTCTGATAAATTAGTTAAAATCACGAGAAATGAAGACAGGTGGTACGTCCGCATCCTACCACGACTCGAAGGGTTCAAATATTTACCATGTTTCGTTCGCGGGACAATGCGAACGCGTTGGCAAATGCGCGGGCAAAAACACTCCTAATGGAATTAAACTCTCCCTCCCCCTCCCTTCCGCCCCCCGAAAGAACGGTTCAACCCGCAGAAATGAGAAGTGCGTTTTCTTCGTCGCGACGCCGGTTAAACGACTTCGTTCGTCAGGAACTCACCTCAACAGTCTTCCCAGGGGGTCCCTTTCCGGGGATGTGGGCCCTCCGGGACCACTTCCGGCGCCAAGTCTACGCGAGGAGGCGCGCGCGCTCGATATGTATGCGGCCGGCGCGGGCGGCGGGCTGCAAGGCGGACAACAAACGGGGCTGCTGCCCCCGGGGGTTGAGAGGGTGTAACTCCTCTCCAGCTCCTGCAACAGACGGAAGAAGGGGCGGTGGTTATGCAACAGCGAAACCTCGGGTTTCCTACAAGACGCTGCTGGTCGAGTTACGCTCGGGCTGAATCGAGCAGCCGTACGCGTCCCCCTGAACCCGCAGTTTCTGATTTACTCCGACGACAGTCCGACCGAGTTTCGTGCTTGTCGAATTTATGTCTTTAGCGCTTGGAGGAGATGTCAGGCCTCTTAATGACACACGTGTGATACCGTTAATATATAAAGTTGCTAAAAAGAATATTTAGACGCCAAATCACATTTACATTGCCACGCAGAATCGTAAGAGTGAATGTTTTACTCAAGCTTAGTGGAAATTTTAAATTCATACGAATAAACGTCTCGATCGATTAATGTGTATTTAATTGTATTGACGGTCGAATACAACAGATCTACTCTTTGATCTTGAGTGTTACTATTCACTCGACGATTCAGAGTGAAGAATTCTCGCTTTATACGAGTGAAATATCACTCCGATTCGAGCGACTATCACTTTATTCTTCGAATAAAGTTTTACTCTAAAAAATTTTTGGAAGTACACAAGATAGCTTTATATATGTTTAGGTAATTACAAAAGATAACACGTTATTGAAAGATTTTTGTTTTTATATATGTTACAGAAGGCAGAATTATTAAGTCATCTAGATTGTAAAATTTGGGAGTATTGAGTTTTTTTATTCGTACTATGTGGGAAACGTGTTTATTTACTCAGTAATAAGTTTATTGTAAGCACATAATTCAGTGTAAAATTACTAAATTTTTAAGTGACATCTCAAGAAACAGATGTGACACCATATGACTCAATGACACATGTAATTCAGGGTTCTAGTTTGCGTAAAGTGTATCAAAATCAATATGATTTTCGTGAGGTATAGTTTTGGTAAAGAATTATCCATATTTAATATATACGTAAAATATTTTATTTCCTTCCTTCAGGTTGAATTTGTGTCTCACGAAGGACGACATATCGATCCACTCGCGAATTTCCGCGCGAGTAATTCGCGAAGATAAACAGCGTTGCGCCGAACATCCATAAAGCGTCATTACCATAAAGCTGACGAGCGCAGGACGCGCCACTTTTTGCTCGCGAAACAGGACGAGCCCGTTGGATCCGCCGTGTTTATATCGCGCGATTTGAATTTCTCGAGAGAGCGGCTTTTTCTGATTTTTAGTTGCCGCGAGAATCTCTCTCGTCGGCAGGCTATTCATTCTGAGAGCTAAGGACTATGTCGGACTGTTGGAATTGCGCGAGCAAACTTGGCGAACGAATGACCGTGCCACGACTTCCCTCGGCAATCTCCACAATGGGGGAAGCGAGTTTAAGACGCGCGGGACGACCAAGAGGAAGAATCGAATTTACGATTTAGAGGGCAACAGAGAAAGAGAGAGAGAAGGGGGGGGGGGGAGAGAGAGAGAGAGAGTCCGAGTCACCCAGTCCAGGTCCTGAGTTGTTTGATCCTCCGCCGTTTTCGGCGGTCTAGTTAAGATCGGGGGATTAAGTTTCCGGAAATTTTCAAGCGATTTTGCGAGTGAGGTCGGGCTTTATCGCGTGCGCCTTCACGCTGTTAACGGAACTCGGGGATTAAACTTCGGGGACTGAACTAGACTCTTGAGATTTACGAGTGGACCGATACCATCCGCGTTCTGACGCGCAATGCCTCTCTTTTGAATTTAATTAATGCGCCAGAGTTATACGGCGCGCTGTTTTCCGATGTTATTACCGCGCGCGTTGTCTTCGAAGATTCGGAAAAGTTCCTTGCTCAACAACGACAGTCTGAAAGGACCCGATCATTCAACCTAGCAAGTTTCATGGGACCTAATTGCCGTGCAGTCCAATCCTCCCCCTCGTGTTTCTCATAAAAAAAAATTGTAAACTGCCTAGGAAATCTTCGCAGAATCGGGCTTGAAGTTGTTTATCAGAATGTTTTGGATGAAAGTTGAGCATTAATCCATTGAAATTTCCTTTGATTAAAATAATCGGCAAATAAATAATGAAAATCAATTAACCGCCACGTATAAAGTCACGTATAAAGTCACAGAATTTCATCGATTGATGAAATTAATTATTACCTAAAATTTGGTGTGTGATCGATTACACACTGATTAATTACTACTGATCAATTATAACACTGAATAATTAATTTCACCAATCGATGAAATTGTGATTTTGTATACATGACGATTGATTAACTTCAATTATTGATTTACCGATTATTTCAGTCCAAGAATACTTTAATTGCCCGACACTGTACCGCGCACATAATTCTGTATGGGAAAATCAAACAGATTTCACTCCATCTGTCAAACGTTTCCGCAAAGATTTTCTCTGGATTTTCTACTTTGTACCAGAATAAAATAAAACATATGAAATACTTTAAGCATTTACGCTTTGTAATTATTAATATCTAAAGAGTGTATAAATAATGAAAGTGTTTGGCTATTCTGATGGCGGAATCTATGCTGTTTCTGGGAAAATCTGGAAAAACATTGTGCGGTCTCGAGCAATTGAAAATTTCAAGTCTCTTTTAAGGTAACTCCCGAGATTGGTTTAAGATGTTTCTGGATGTGTGTGTATATGTGTGGACACAGTTAGAGAGACGTGAAGTTCACGATTAGCGGCGGGAGATCCGATATGGCTGCACGGAAAAAGAAAGATTTGCTAATATATGGACAACTAAAAATATTAACTGCAGGAGCAAATTTTCTTACTTTTATAGCAAAGTTATTTAGTTGTGATAGCTAAAAGATTTGCTAATATATGGACAACTAAAAATATTAACTGCAGGAGCAAATTTTCTTACTTTTATAGCAAAGTTATTTAGTTGTGATAGCTAAAAGATTTGCTAATATATATATTAGTCTAATATATATATAACTCCTGCAGTTAATATTTTTAGTTGTCCATATATTAGCAAATCTTTTTTTCCGTGTGCGTTTCGCAATTTCACGCTCCTGTTCGCACGCGCTTTATTAATCCACCTTTATTTGAATTCGTGTCCGATGACATCATGCCCGAGCGAGCGCGTTTATTAATGAGAACACACGGCGTGAAATCGGGATTTCCTCTCAGCCCCGCGCGATCGCACAACTTGGATCGCATGGGTTCATTACAGCGTCCGAAAACGAACAACAACTTTCGTTATTAACGCGCAACGTTTAACTTCCTGACGCGGATCTGAACGAATCAAAGCTCCCTCTCCGCGGAGCTTCGCCGACGATTCCTCGGAATTCGCCGGAAATCCGCCGCTCCAAAAGGGATCAGAAATTTCTCGAACCGACTGCTCGTGATACGGTCGATTGGACGCGATTTAAACTATCGATCGAGCCGCAACTAATCAGTAGCCGAGCCAGCCGACAGATATCCCTTTAATTGCCTGACTATGTGTGCGTTCTCATACACGTGCACACACGCACGTACACAAGCACACCGATCCGAGCTTTCTCGCTATGTTCAAATAGAAAAAAGTGATTCAGGAAGCCGTGCGACTAAAATCCGGAACAAAGTGGCTAATCCGGGGAACAGTACGTTCGTTTGCCTCGATGATTCCATATCAAATCCCGTTTCCCTCGCGCACCCTCGCGACAAAGCGACATTTCTCATAAAACCGTTGCACACCGAACAAATATTTAATTAAGAACGTTCGCATTCGAGATGGATGATAAGAGTTAATTCTTCAAAATCCTCTTGACTTGAGCATTCTCAGATCGAGAAATCTGTATATTTAAGAAAATTCTTATCTTTGAATTTCTTTGGGTGAAAAGTGGCAGTATTTTTACCCGAAAAGGAGGCGATAATAAAAGTACTGCCACACAAGAGTGAATGTTTCATTCCAGATTAGATTTTGACTCCATACGAGCGAATGTCTCAATCGATTGGAGTCAATATATTCCTCTGACTGGAATGCACCAGATTCATTCTTCGATTTCGAGTGAAAAAATTCACTCGACGATCCAAAGAGGAGAACTCATTCTACACGAATGAGACATAACTCGAATTCGAGTGACTCGACTGTCAGTCGGCTTTTTGGGTTTTGGAATTTTACTCCAAGAAATTTAGAAAGTTGCGGAATTTTTATGATGCATACGAAAATGAAGGCTTTACTCGAACTCGTGATAAGCGGAAGACAAGGCCAGGGACTGGTCGATTAAGCCTGATAATCGCATTATCCTCGAATATTAATTCCGCTCGAAAAGGAAGATTGTCCCGCTCTCGCTGCAGCGCGATGTTAATTGATGAAATGAAATAACGAACGAGCGTACTTCATCACTCGCGAATCTCACTGAGTTCTTTTCGAAAACGATAGAACTTTCGCAATCCGATTACGAGACTAATATTACGTGTTTATTAACGTATCGTATACTAGCCTCGTTGCACGTGTTCTGTACTTTGTTTGCTTTACATCCGCTCTGTATACGTAAAATCTATTCCGTTGGACGAAACAAATTTATTTATATCAGATTCTTGGATCTCGCGCTTATATCGGAAATTGTATATTACTCTCTTCCTCTCTATTTCTGTCTAGTGGCTTTGATGGAATTTATTTTGCGGGAAGTTATTCTATGTTAATCGAGCCTTTTCGGATCTTTGATCCTCCGAATTAAATTCTAATATCCTCTATACCTCTGGAGAACACCATAAAGTCGTATGAAACTTTACCTCCGTTTGAGGCTCGTGTTTACGCATCGTTTAATAATTCGAGGAATTTATATCGCATCGAGATTAAGCGCGGAATTCACATCGTGCCGTTATGCAATTATTCTTGAAGTTTGCTGAAATGAAATCGTATTCGAAATGAGTGAAAATTCACTCGAGAGGCGGTGGTAAAAATACTACCGCGGAAATGAATGTGCCATTCAAGCTTGGAGCGGATTCTGACTTGACACGAGTAAATATTTCGATCGATCAGAGCGAATTTATTCCTGTGCCGGTACAATACATTGGACTCACTCTTCACTTTCGAGTGAAAATATTCACTCAA